AGCCACCAAAAGCTCCAAAATCATGACATGGAGACTTCTTATTAGTCATAAATGCTCAGTCTTAGCTGTTACTTAATCTCTTTCTCTTTACCTACGTTTTACCTCAGGGACTTTTACATTTTCTTTCTGTGTGTCCTACTCTGAGTCTGCTGGCTGGCCCAGGGCAACTCCCTCTCTCTTTCCCTTGTCCTCTCCTTCTTCTTGTCTCACCTTCATGAACCCAGATTTCTCCTCCTTTTTATTCTCTCTACCCTCCAGCCCTGCCTACCCATTTACTGCCTAGCTATTGGACAGTTCACCTTTCTTAGACCAATCAGGTACCTTAGTCAGGCAAAGTGAAACAAATGTAACACATCCTTACATCATTTACAAACATAGCAGAAACAAATGTAACACATTTTTATATAGTTAAATTTCCATCTGCCACAGGGGATGGAAAGGTGGCTCCACAAATAAGGGTTTTACTGCTCTTGAAAAGCATCTGGGTTCAGTTCCCAGCACCTACATGGGGCTCACAACTGCCTGCAGCCCCAGTTCCAGGGGATCTGATGCTCTCTTCTGAATCACTCAAATACCTATACTATGTGGTACACACATATTCACATGAGTACATGCACATATATAAATAATAAAATCCAGGCACATATACATAAATAAATAAGTAGACATATATGCACACATACATTATATAATATATAAAAGAAAACCTTCACCCTCATCACCCCTGTGACAGTTCTCATTGTATAGAAAAGAAAATGTTTGCCCAGTTGCATGGCATGCTCACAAGCAAGGCTCATTTTTAATACCGCTTTCCCTACCCCATCTCCTGAACCACTCAGTTTCACAATAGTGGGGAGCCAGGACTCATTTTCTCTGCCTATAAAGCAAGAAGCTGAGCATGTCCTGTCACTCCTGCAGGAGCATTCCCAGTCAGGGATGACTTGCCCATTATAAAACAGCTGTGAAAATAAATGTACCAGCAGCATTGACATCATAATGTTTTTATAACAATTATTATTTAATATTATTAATTGATGAACCCAATATAAACCTCTTAGCTTTTTTACTGAAATGCACTATTCTTTTTCTCTTGGAGCAACACTGCCATCTATTGGCATATATGGAACTACCTGTCATGCGTTCTGCATCTCTGCCTTCAACCTACCACCAGGTCTAGACTAGTTGGGAGAAACTGCATCTGTTGTGTACATGTACAAACTTCTCCTAAACAACACGATTATTAGAGCAACCGTTTATATAACATTTGCATTGGATTAGATATTATAAGTAATCTAGAGGTTTTTACAGCATACAAAGGGAGTTGCATAGGCTGTGTCAAAACAGTGTGCCATTTCTATAAGGTGCTTGAGCAGCCTTGACGCTTAGTAGCTGAGAGGGAATTTCCTGGAATACCCTCAGCCCTGGATACTGAAGGAGAATTCTACTGGGTATCATATTGACTGGGGAAAATGATAAAGCCTGGAGGGGCTTTGGATAGGCATTTCAGAAAGGTCATTTAAGGACATGGCTGTGACTCTGAGAAGTAAGAGTTATAGCAGGGGCTGGGGAGTTGGGGCAGTAAAGTCCTCACTATGGAAACATAACGTCCTGAATTTGGAATCCCAGCACACACATTAAAAAGCTCAGCATAGCAACACTCATCTATAACTCCAGAACCATCAGGAGATTGCAAATCCCTGGTGGCAAGAGGCTGGGGAAGGCACCAACTGTCAACCTCAGGTCCACACACACACACACACACACACACACGCTACAGAGAGAGAGAGAGACACACACACACACACAGAGAGAGACAGAGAGAGACAGAGAGACACAGAGAGAGAGAGAGAGAGACTCACAGATTTAGTGTGAACACACAGGGAGTTAAAGCAGACGTCTGTGTATTTAGGCCACTGGCTCTCCGAATAACAGCTGTAAAAACAGTCAAAGGTTGTTAATGACTTTTAACAAAATCACCCAAGCTAGAATAGAAGAATGAATGTGTGGCATTCCAGAACTATAGTGTTTTACGGCACTTAGAGTCAAAATATCTTTGCTTGTATGCATTGGACTAAAAGCTAATGTCCCCCTGAGGATCTTAAACACAAATGTTTGAAAGCTTCTGGTCTTACTGGTTAGAAAAGGCTGATGCTCATAGGCTGAGTTAAGTAGCAAGCCTGAAAAGAGGAGGAGGAAGAGAAGGAGGAGGAGCATTGTGCTAAGAGTACAGAAAAGCAAACCATGGTGCCCTAGAGCAGTCAAAAGGACCAAGAACACCCCGAGAACATCTAGGGACAAAATGCAAAATGGGCTAGTCCTAGGGACATGAGCTTAAAAATGTAGTTTGGCCAAGAGGGCAGGGAGCAACTGAGGTGAGTTTGGGCTTTGAAATAGAAAAAAAGAAAGAGAGAGAGAAAGAAAGGAAAAGAAAAAAGTTAACCTAATAAAATATTGACTGCACCACAAGATGCCAAAAGAGAGCTGCACTAGGCTGGAACAAACAGGTTGGCAGCCTTAATTACTGGCATTCCTGTGGGTGGCACGCTCTGTGGTTCTCTAGGAAATTAAAGTGGCAGGGTGGTGTCAGGGCCTTAAGGGCATAGGAACAGTGTAGTAGACAAAGCCAGATGACGCGTGGAAGTTCACCCTAAGTCCTTGTTAACACCCTGACATTCAGAGCCATGAAAAATAAGCCTGTGTTGTTTTAAGCCACCCTGGTTGTTGGAGAGCAACCTGGGAAATGGATGTCCTTCTTACAGGTTTCCTAAGGTGTCATGGTTTGAAGTGCATGGATTTAGAACAATACTAGAAGAAATTATCCTACAGAAAAGTGTGTTTGACTCCTGTCTCAGCTAGAATTTCTATTTCTGTGAAGAGACACCATGACCACAGCAACTTTTATAAAAGATGTGGTGATATCTTGCTTGAACAAATAAAGCCTGTCAGAAGATCAGAGGGCAGAGCTAGCCACTAGCTAACCATAGAGGTCTGGAGGTCTGTACAGACAGGAAGTGAGATGGCTGGATAGAAACAGGAAGTGAGATGGCGGGGCCTAGAGAGAACATAAGTGGGAAGAAACAGGCTAGATCTATGGGCAGAGCACCAGACAGGCTTTATTTGTTCAAGTCAGATATCAACACAGAAAGAAACACATTTAACTGGGGTGCCTTTCAGTTTCAGAGGTTTGCTTCATTCTCATCACGGTGGGACATGGTGGCATGCTGGCAGACATGGTCCTGGAGAGGAAGCTGAGAATTCTACATCTTGCCCAGCAACAGAAAGTGAACTCAGATACTGAGTGGTATTTTGAACATATGAGACCTCAAAGCCTACCTCTTCAATGACAGACTTCCTCCAACAGGGCCACACCTACTCCAACAAAGCTATACCTTCTGCCTCTCCCTGTAGGGGCCATTTTCTTTCAAAACACCACGTTCCACTCCCTGGCTCCCATAAGGCTTGTAGCTATTATCAACTACCTTCCCATGGTGCATACATCATTTTACTTTTGGATGCTCAAACAGAAGGAAATAAGAGGAGCCTGTATCTAGGAGGACTTCCTGCAAAGCACAAACTACTTAGCCCCACAGTGCCAGTATCTATTATTTGTCTTGTTGCTATAATAAATATTTAAGGAAAGGAAGGTCTATTTTAACTCAGTTCTGAAGCGTGGTCCATCACAGCAGGGCAGCAGTCACATTGCTTTTATTGTCCGGAAGCAGAAATGATGATGCTACTTCCTTCTTATTTAGTGAGTCCAGGACATCAGCCTAGAGAATGGTGCCACAAACACTTACAGTAGGTCTTCCCACATGAATTAGCCTGATCTAGACAATCCCTTATAGGCTTGTACAGAAACTAATGTACTGTAGAAAAACTTTCATCAGTGTGTCAGGAAGTGTGTTTCCCGGGTGACTCTAGATCAGCATTAACCATTGCTGCTTCAGAATGACCTTTTGTAGTGTTTCAAGTTCTAGGTGCCAGTCATTTCTTCTTGTCACCTGTCAGGCTGCCAAATTTATTTATCAGGAATGGAGAACTCCTAACCCCCCTCAACAAATGTTATTTGTGTCTTTATTCCATTGGTTCTAGCAATACAATCTTATTTCTTATCTACAGGGAATGGCCACAGAGCAAGAATTGAAAGCTGCCATCCACTCCAGTAGCACAAAATTAAATCACAGGAGAGACTGCTCAACATACTAGGTAGATTTGAACTGCCATTTGGTCCAGATGTTTCTGGTTTATCCTCATCTGTTTAATAGAGGATTAACCTCTATTATCACCTGAATTAAAACAAGGAATAACAGAGCAATGTTGAAAGGGGGTAATTGCAGGAGAGTGGGCAGGTGCTGCGCTGAGGTGGAGTACCAGGGAATTGGTGTTGCCAGCTGCTTTGCCTTGCAAGGCTTTTTTTTTTTTTTTTTTTAAGCACAGCTCACATTTATTCCCTTTATACAAGAATCCTGAGTCAGACTAACAGGAGTAGGGACTGCCTCTTAGAAACACCCAGGAGAGATTCTCCAGGAGTCTTTGGCTGATCAGCTGGGATGAGCTACTGTAAACCCTCACTTATAATCCTGGTTTGTCACAATCTGAGTGGAACAACGGTTTTCCAAACCGAACTACGAGTTTCTCACGGTTCATGGAGCATTTTATTAAACGTGCTCAGGTAAAAGTCTGCTTTCCTCCACGTTAGAAGCCCCAAAGGGCAGACCCTCAGGAGCGAGGGGTAGGTGTGTTCCCAGAAGTCAAGGGAGGTATCTCGGCTCCCATGCCTTTGTGCGCTCTTTGACTTTGGGTTAGTGCATCACAGCATGCATGGCGCAGCTAGCCTGCCGGTGCCACAGTAGGCCTGGAACCTCCTTGGTGAGGGAGTGTCTCATCTCTCACTATGCATCAAGAAAGTCCGGCTGCCTCTCAAGACATCTATCTCACTTTCCATCAGATGAGTTCCCGATCTTCCCCCCAACTGTCCTTCTCTGGGTCTATCACCATCCCTAGGATTGCGTCTCCCGTGCCTCTGTGCCTTCACAAGGACTCTTTGGGCCATCGCCATCGCCCAGCATGGTGCCTGGGGTTGCCGTGTTGCCGGTGTCCTCAGTCCGGCCCCGCGGGCGCCCATGGCCTTGGCGTGGCTGGAACGCAGCAGCTGCAGCTGGCGCTCCCCCCCTTCCCCCGGGCTGTACTTGCTGTACGCAGCAAGTCGAAGCGCAGAAGGATGGCTTGCAGCCGGAACTCTCTCGGCACCGGGTTTCCCCCCTCCCGGCGCGCAGTAGCTCCAGATGCAGACTCAAAACTTGCCTCCGCAGCCGGCTGGGCCGACTCATGACCCCTGGGGTCGCCGGCGGCAGCTGCAAACCTGCCCGAAGCACCGGCCAGACACACAGTCACAAGGCTATTTCTTAATGTGGATTTGATTAAAGAGTTCTTGTGATGAGAAATTATTTTTGTTTCCCTTTTAGTGGACTATCATAGTGGAGAGCCAAATCTGACTACTAATGGCGAAAGGGCAGTTTGAAGGGTCAACTTCAGTTGCAGGCAGGTTAATGAAGGATACATGGAAATGGCTTCAGTGTGTGACAAAGTCTGAAGGATCCACAACTCCAAGAGTACAGACTGTAATGCTGGCTCATTGCTCACCTTCTAAATGACAGCTCTCCTGAGAAAGAATTACTGGGAAAGCTGTTTAGCACTCAGCCAAGACTCCCGCCATATTGTAATTAGACAGCCTGCAGCGGCCTAGGACAAAGCTGGAGCTTAATTTTGGATACCTGCCACACAAATTACTTAAGGAGGCTTTAGAATACTGAGGAATTTCTTAATTCCTTAGTGATTTTCTTCAGCTATCCTAACAGACAGGAAATGAATTCTCACTGGTAATTACTAGCCTACAAAGCCAATTTCAATAGTCTTTTTTGTTTTTTAATTTTAAGAGATAGGGTCTTCTTGCTCCATAGTTCAGGCTAGCCTCAAAGCCATGGACCTCCCACCTAAGCCTCCTGCGTACTGGGATTGCATGTGTGGGCCACTAATGACTGGAGATAAGTAGAAGGTGGAAACTGACAGCCACATATGCTAGCAAACAGAATCACAGAATGTCAGAGATCCCCCAGGGAATCACAACTTCCAACTTTCTAGATGACAAGTAGCTTTCTCCATACCTACGTCATTAACCAGACCTCCTCATGCCCAGGCCAACATGCTGCCTCCTGAGCTATATGCCAAAATCCCGAGTCTTATTTAACCACCTCCAAGATTCTTGACCATGGACAAATTACTCACCCTCTATGTCCTGGTTGTTGGTTTGTCTACTTGATACAAGCTAGGGTTATGATAAGAGAACTCTTAATTGAGAAAGTGCCTTTTTCTGATTAGCCAGTAGACAGTCTGACTGGGAAAGACCAGCATACTGTGGGTGCTGCTGCCCCTGGGCAGGTAGTGGTAAAGTATAATAGAAAGCAGGCTGAGCAAGTCGTGAGGAGCAAGATAGTAAGCAGCTGGAGGGGAGCTGTTCACTTCCCATGGTTTGCTCAGCCTCTGCTTTCTTATAGAACCCAGGACCACCAACCCAGGGATGGCACCACCCACAATGGGCTGCCCCCCCCCCCCACCGTGATCACTAATTAAGAAAATGCCTTACAGCTGGATCTTTTAGAGTCATACTCTTAATTGAGGTTCCCTCCTTTCAGATAACTCTAGCTTGAGTCAAGTCGACATAAAACTAACCAGGACAGACAGAAACTGGGGCTTATGTGTGATGATAAGGGCAGAGGGAACACAAAGTTAAATCAGACCACTTTTGTTCACAAGGGCCCACAGAGCAAGTTCCCCACCTAAGGCTGGAACTCACAGTCCATTGGCTGCTGGATCAGGCTGCTTGGCTGGCTGGATCAGAACCCAAAAAGGCCCATAGTGAGTGTGCCTACCACAAGTGTTTGTGGATCTCCCTGCACTTGCTGCAGAGGAGGGGATTTACGTGCTCAGAGAGTCCGGGTAGTGTGATGCTGTGAAATGTATATTTGGTCTTCCTCCTGCTTCTTGGCATCCAACTCCTCAAATCCTTGGAGTCTCCCATAGTATCTTTCCATGCTAAGGAGTGGAGTGACGGCTAGCGAGTAGATCACCACAGCTGTGTTTTATTGGCGGAGAAAGAAGGGTAGAGAGAGAAATGTCCCAACAGTTTGGCTGAGGAGGTTTGGGAGGGGAGTCGCCCATCACCTCTGGTCACAAATCTGCCATCCCTGACTCCTGTGCACCCAGTGGAATCCTGAATGGAGCCGAGCTTTTTCCCCAGGAAGTGTGGGTCCCCAGCTTTTCGTTTCTTCCAAGAAGCTGCCTTCCTGGGATGATGAGACTCTTCTTACTTGGGTTTCAGGGTCTGAAGCCTGAGTGCCTGGCTCCTAATACACCAGCCTTCTTGTCTTACTGTGACTGCTGTCTATTTATTTGCTCGAGTATACGAGCACATGTGCGAGTCTACACACACACACACACACACACACACACACACTTTTCCTAGGGCCAAAGCTTCCATTTATATCCTTTATCTGTGTGTCGCTACACTGGCACTCTGCCTGACCCATTTTATGGACATCTAAAGGGTGTTTAATGGAATGGCTGTTAGTACTGAAGTCTAGATGGCCTTCAGAAGCATGGAGTAGATGAGACCTTCTGGTAGGGATGGGAAGGCAGGCGCAAGGGGCTTCTGTGAGTTCTGATGTGGGAGTCGAGGAGAAACAGAAAGGCCTACTTCTCCCACCCTCAGGTGTGCCTAGAGCAGACCACAGCCTGGACCAGCTGGACTCAGATTGACAGCCTGTCATACAACTGCCTAGGTTTCCAGTGTCCCAGTCCCTCCCACTGAATCCTCTAATTTCAAGTATGGGGGAAAAAAGCACCCCAGTGCCCACAATACAGGCCCCATTGCTCTCCTGGGTGTGGCACAGACAGGTTCCAATGCAGCTTCCAAGGAAAAAGAAGCCCTTCAGGTTTTGTTTGTTTTTGTATTTTCAAGAAGATATTTTTGGACAATTTTTATTTGGTGCACCAAATTAAAAGGGCAATCATAATTCAATGAAAGATGAAAGTCAAGGCCTAAAGTTCACACTGACCCCGATATCAAAGTTCTAAAGTACTGGCTGGCCTTTCATCTCAAAATTCACCATTAACTAAAAAAAAAAAAAAAAAAAAAAAAAAAAAAAAAAAAAAAAAAGGCTCAATTGACGTACCTCGTGGGTAATAAGTTGACTTTCTACAGCATCCCAAATATTTCAGATTTAACTTTAGACACAGATCCGATATTCAGCTGAGAAAAAGCACAACTTTCAACATGGAGGCTATGATGAGGTGCAATAGCCACTTTTAATGTAACCAAACTGTGTTACCTATATACACTTAGAATTTTAGCATACTGGACAATAAAGCTAGCTTGAGAAGAGCTGAACACTTTTCAAGTGTTTTATTAGCCTCTGTATTTTAAAAATACATGGATGCAACCCAAGGTTGGGATGAAGATGACAGTTTTTATGAAGGTCTGGTGAGTGCTGAGTGCCATAGCTCACAGGGACAGTAGAGACATACAGCTTTCAGTGGCCATGGCTCATAGGGACAGTAGAGGCATATGGTCTTCAATGGCTTAATGAAGAGGTGCTATTCCATCTCACATTTGGGGCTTTAAGCTGACTTAAAATCCTCCTGCATGGGAGTGATTGGGGGACCTGAGGCACATTGTGGCAATACAACATTTGCTAGTCACATACTTGGGTCATCCATCATGGTGTTCCCGAACTTTGGTTACATGGAGAGATGGGATGGAACCCTCCCTGGGTTTCGTTTGTTTGGTTGACTGAGACAGGATCTTACTATGTAAACCAGGCCAGCCTTTGTACATGCTATATAATCTCTGCTGGCCTTGAACTCACAATCCTTCTGCCACCTGTTCCCAAGGGCTGGCATTATAGGCATGCAGCACCACACCTGACTGGAAAGCTTTTCTAAGGAGACAAATTAAAAGCAGAGAAAGAAACAGAACAATCTTTAGCATTTGCCAAATATAGCAATTTGGTAAAGAATAGCAAGTGCAATTTTCTTTTCAGTGCCTCAGAAAGTACTGGATATAGACCTGTAAAACCATTTACTGTGGTGTATACCATTAGAATCATAAAGCATTGCTCCCATTGAGCACAAGGCTGTTCTTTTGAAAGCAGAAGGTTTTCTCTGTGGGTCTCACTGCACAATTCTTTCCCTATGTGCTCAAGTTGCCTTTGCTGGTTCTGTGTCAGGATGCAGGATGCATGTCTGTGACCCTCCTGACTGCACAGGCTTACTAGGTTCCAGTGTGAAGTTTGCATTGACAAAGCAGACGAGGTGCCTGCACACAGTGTAAGCCAGATGCTGTGAAGCATTGTAGAGAAGCCAGAGCCTGGGGCAAAGGAAAAATAAGGAAGACTGCTCCCCAGGTCAGGGTCAGAAAAGGTAGCAGGAGAACTGGGGCCTGAGGTTCAGTAGAAACTCTAAGGCAAGTGGGTTGGAAAAGAAGCTGACCTGTTGCTTGGGCCAGAACTTACAATAAGAGGCACAAAAGGCCAGGAGAAGATTTAAGCAAGGAGGTTTTGACATTTCAAGTTTTGAAAGATTTTATTTTTGATGACTGGGATGGATTCACAATTGAATAATCTGTTTTCCTTTGCTATAACAGAATACCTGAGTCAATGCAACTGGATCTTACATGGCTTCCAGCAAGCTGAGGCTATTGAGTTGATGATGGAAGAGGTGAAATGTAACATTGAATCTATTGCAGCTGTTGCCATGCTTGTCAGAGAACTGGGCATTGAGTCAGACTCAGTGTACTAGAGTGTGATGAAATACACATTTTACATATAACGTGTATTTTTGTAAAAAAAATGATTTTGTGATTGAAGGAACCGCGATATATTTGACAACTGTGAGGAAGTTGACTGTAGGATCAGCTTTGCACTGAATAGAAATCATTCTATTTTGGATGTATCATATCTGAGGTGATGACAAGACAGGGCTCTGGAACTCTCTCACAGACAGCTGAAGATTAAGGAGTAGAGCTCGGATGATAGACAAGGAGCTTGAAGAGGAGGTAAAGTTTTAAAGTCATCTGCAAATGACTGGCACATTACAAATGAAGGTCAAAGTAGCAAGGGTTGAGGCCTGGGCCGGGGCAGAGGTAGAGGCCAGAAGTAGAAAATGAACAACATCACTCCTGACCTTGAAGAACTTGACATCTTGCTGGAAACACTAACTATGCACACTGTTAAAGACTGAGGAGCAAAAGGAGACTATAAAGATGATGCTGAAG